GTCCAAAGTATGATGATCTTGTGTCGAAACATTAGCCTGGATTTGCAAAGAATGGCAAGGGAAATATCTTCATTGAGTAGGTTATGTCGCACAGTGAGTTTTTGCTACAGAATATCGTTCTCATCTCACAAACATTCAGTCTTTTGGCACGGCCTATGACCTGAGCACGGTTCCTATAAAGAGCATATAGGGGAAAGGAAAAAAATTTGTTCTAATTCAGGCCGCTCTGCAGTATCTGGATGCAGTGATCATCCAAGAAATGTCGCGGAATCACTCAGTCATGAGGGAGATCTTGGAGAACGAAATAATACCAAAATTAGCCGCTGGGGAAGACATTGCATATCATGCGCTCAGCTACGGATGGCTGCTGGATCAAAGTGTAAGACATACAGAAGAGAAGCACCGAGGGATTGGGCCATTTCTCAGAGAAGAAATCTCAGAGCCTAGTGGTGAGGACTAGAGATGCCATTCATTTTAGCCCAATATTCTCTAAAGAAGAGCTTATCAAAGCTATGTGAAACCAATCCAAGTCTCTATGTCACATAGTGGAATTGAAGTGGTTTTGCTGGAACTCGAACTCAATCATTTCATTTGTCATTTTTTTTTCTTCTACAGGAGTCGATTTCCACATAGATCCAAACCATTCCGAGGAGTATCGAGTTGCTCGGATCACTCTACCGACAATCGCTCAAATGATTGCAGAAACTTGGCATAACCCTATAGTTGCCGGGATAGCACGTAACTTTCACTATGCAGACAAGGTAATCAAAAAAAAGGGACTCGGTCTCGGTCTCCCTTCCATTATATAGAAATAATTCGATATATTGGGTTAGACCATAAGTGGCGTTCATCTCTGACACACATTTCTATATGGAAAATGACAACTGTTCTACAATATGTTCTACAACTGTTTGATAGATTATTTCTGCTCTATAGGACAGTATGAATCCTTACAGATTCTTGATTTCTGTTGGCTTTTACTCATTGAAATAGAATGTCGGGTCGACACAAAAATAGACTTTGGACAACTTTTTGCATTTTATCTCGGCTCTCAAATTACAGAACAAGCCAAAAACTGTGATGTACATGTTCAAGGAAAGGTGCTCTTCATGACTGCTCAAAATTGGCTCAAGCGATAACGAGCTGGAAATTCCAACCCTCTGAATATGAATGGGGCCTCCTTGAAAAGCGACTGCCTGCAGAACCTACCCCCTAATTTTCGAAAGTCTAACATCAGCTGAGGGTGATGCTTGATAGTTGTAGGTAGCACTGCATGACCTCTAACGACTTCTCAATGTTTGGCATGAATGTCCGTAAACAAGATATCTCAGTAAGCTCTTGGACTCAATAGGGCATTACCTTCGAGGCATGCCGCCTGTAAGGTCGAAATGGAAATTTTTGAGCGAATTCGACCTCTATAAGCATTTTTGAGAGACATAGCCTCTTGGCCATATACTTAGGAACTTGGCCTGTGCGGTTTTGGCCTTCCACCATTAAGGGAGTTTCGTTACAGGCGGAATCCCGCTTTTTGCGATACGTTTATTGCACTTTGTAAGGGCTTTTGCCACTGAACTAAAGTGGGCACTTGTTTTTGTGCTGTGGCGGCTCCAGGAACGCCAAAAAAGGAGCGAAAGGTACGTCTGTGTACCCCCATATGAGGGACGTTAAGCGCTATACTGGCGCCAAATTGAGACGACGTCGAAAATAAGTGTCAAAATCGTAATCAGGACCATCCACTACCCTTATGGACGAACTTCTAGCCAAAAAAAGTTTTTTCGATTTTTTGGGTTTTGGTGGACCATTTGGTCGGCAGTGGTGACCGGAGTGTCCCATCTTCGTAAAGACGATGATGGACAACGACACTCGACACGTAGCAGCCGATGCGGGACGAAGGACTAGCAACACTGTTTGGATATACGCTCCGTTTCCTTTCTCTTTGCACGAAATTCATCAGAAATTGTTAACTTTTATCTTTTGGTTTAAAGGCTGAGCCCGCATTCAAATTTGATGAGTTATGCGGCTCAAATACTTATAACAAGGTAGCAAGTAACCCCTTAGTGAAGAAAAACAGAAAGAAATCATAGGAAAGGCTCTATATAGAACCCCTTGCTTAATTGAGGTTGTACGTGCTCAAGGCGAAGAGAAGGTGCGGTCAGGCCGTACGAGTTCGCACTTGTTGATATCAGCTGTTTTCCTTATCACCCTCTAGCTCTCAGCCACTCGACGTGGGGGAAGCAGCAGCGAAAAATGCGGCACCAGCAGTCAGGTAACCATTAGAAATGAATGGTGGGCGGTGCCAATGATTGTAGGTTGGGTCAATGATAAGAACGACGGCATCGTGGCTCTCCTCACGCGTTTTTGCGCCGCGAAAGTTGTGTAGTTGTTGCCTCAGCGGACTTGGCTACCTGCCATCACCGAAAGAGAGCGAAAAATCTCAAGCTGACCGCGAAGAACGACTGCCCTCTTAATAAAATAGAGGGAGTCCGCTGCTGGCGAGTGCACTGTAGACATTCTAATGGAAAAGACTGTCTGGGCACAAACCCACGACACACGTAAAAAAGTCGAAAAAAATATGTTTTGGTTGAGGAAAGATTGTATTATCAGGGGTCCGATAACGACTGGCCCCCGGTCACCGATTTTTGAAACGACTAATTTCCGCGCGTCGACCGATAATTTGGGCCTGGGGCTCCTGGTCCTTATTCTTGTATCCCGCATTCATTTTCTTCAATCGCAATGGAGAAACATGTCAACTCAGTAATTAGCGAATAATATGCAACGTAGCCAAATAAGTCCCATATTCGTGATTCGGGCATGGTCAAAGGTCAACTTTCAATTACGGTCTTGCTTAATGGTATGTAAAACCTGTAATAATTGAATAGCACTGATTCATGGAGTGTTCCCATTTAAAATGTGCCCATAAATGGCAGTTATCGAACGCATACTCACGCACAGACATATTTGAACGCGAAAACAGCAAAACATAAAAAATGCAAAAACTCGCACGCCGAGGGGAGTCGAACCATCAACCCCACCCCAACTGTCCGCTTGAGGATCCCCCACGCTAATACACTTAGGCATCCGCATCGTTGTTGACCGATGTTCATAGCCGATGTTTGAATAGAAACCTTCCATGAAGCGTTTCACAAGCTGTTGATTAACGTGCCTACAAGAAGTACTCCATACCTCAACTACTTTTCTCTTCGATTCGCGAAGGATCACCTTTAATAAGGGTCCGCTCATATTCAGCAACTGGTCAAGTTTCAAGCGGTTTACATGCTGTAGAGCTCAAGAATTATCAGTTTCCAATAGGTGTTTTTTCGCTGTCCATTTTGGCGTTCCTGAGCACGCGTCAGGCAAAAGGAAGTCCACTTCTTTATGGTTCATCGGCAAGCCCTACAAAGGTTAGGCAATAAAACCGTTTCGAAAAAGCGGTGCCCACGCCCTGACGAACTTACATTAGAGGCGAAAAAGAGAGGCTGTCGAAAATGCTCAATTTCGTTGACCTGACACTACAGTGCTGAGTGGACTACCGTATATAGCGGAGAAATTCTCTGCGAAACAATATATAAAACTTGATGGCGAAACTGTTGATCTTTAGCGCGATATTCTCGAATGAGAAAAAACGCCATCACTCATGGGTCCGACCCATTACTTCCACATATTTCCTTGTATTAGTGAGGTGTTCCGCTGAGCTGTTCATTCAGAACAGCCTGTGGTCAAAGGCGATGCAAAGTACGCCTTGGTTTGACGTTACAGACAAATGCACCGTAAATAGCCCTGAACTGCACGCGATGGACCAAGCGGCTGCAACTGGAATCGGAAACGCCCAATTCCTTCAGTTTGGTCAGTCTGGTCAGTTCGTTCAATAGACCTCGGATCGGCGGCAGTATGGCCGCTTCTGCCTGAAAATTGATTTTTGAAAATTGTTTTTTGGAAAAATTATCTTAATTCGCCGTTTCATTCACCGTATGCACCTCCCCCCCCCCCGATAGACTGGCGAACTAGTGATGTTCGCAAATTCGTTCAGGAGGTACTTAGTCTGTTGACCGAAGCCTTGTCCAGTTCCGTCTCCATTCAGTCCCACGACACATTTCCTACCTTCACCTTTCCTTTTCCACCTTCCTTCACATTTTCGTTACCCTTTTTTCCCCGCTCGCTACCCTTTTTCCCCCGCTCGCTTGGCTCATTTGGGACTAAACTGCAAAATTCCGAGTCAAGTCACTCCACGGCAGAGCAGCCTTCCTCTACTATCCACCCATTCATTCCCTATCGTTTCTCCACTTTTTCCGCTCTCGGGGCTCTTTTGGAACCGAACTACGAATTTTTGAAAGTTTCGTAGCAAGCACCGCCCACCTACAGCACGCCCTGCCCATGATGGGTGTGCCTCCCTCATTTCTTCCTCCAGATGATTGCCTCGTTTGCAACAGTTTTCGCTCCCCGGGCTCTTCTGGAACCGAATTATGAGTTTTTAAAATGAAAAGCTTACAAGTATGCCCCGCCCACTGTGGGCGGGGCATAGCTTAGTTCATGTGTGTTTCGTACATCTTGGTCCACGCCCTACCCATCCCACCCTTGACCCGGCCCCTCAAACCGGCTCTTCAGGTAATGCCGAATTTCCGGACAGACACAC